AAGTTTGGAGTGCTCTTTCACATTTTGAAACATGATATACATTTTAATCTTTTAGCATGATATATAGGGTTTTTGTTTTTGTTTTTGTTTTTAACTTGAAATGTTAAATATATAGCAAAGAAAAATCATTTTAAGATCTATTGCTGACTGACATGTAAAAAGCTTTGTTAGAAACTTGTTGCTGGGGGTCAAGTAAACCTCAGAAAATTTCACTCTCTTTTCTAACTTAATTGGGAACATCCCACCCTTTTGCCATTGCTATTACTAGTGATTACGTCAATTCTAGAAGTTTAAACTCACCTAGGAAAAGAAGGTTCTCTTAATTCAAAGTTGAAGATAATAAGCCAACTTGTGATATGTCTTCTCTCTTTGTTGACCCTGGCTTTCCCTCCACCAAAGGTTAGAAGTCAGAGTACATTTGGACTCATAAACACATCAGCCGGAGTTGATGGAACAGCCCCAAATACCAGCAATCAGCATGCACACTGTCATTACATTAATAATCACTTGCTAATGGGCACAGTGACAACCAAGATGTGCACTTAGCGGCTCTGTTTACAGGCCGTCCCCATAGCCTGAATGCATGCTTCTCTTTGGGTTCGGTTCCAAAGGCCTCAAAGCACCCAAGGAAACCTACTCGGTATTATGAAATAAACCATCAAAAGGGAACTTGCTGAAAATTCTGCAGGAGTTTCTGCCCTCATGTCGTGGAAGGAAGAGTGGGCTGGCAGAATATTAAACTGACTGTTCAAAGATGATCAAAGCATCAAAGAAGTGGATGCAACACTCAAAAAACAGACTCAGTAGAGAAAGAGAAAGAGAATATCTTCTAATCATCTAAAAACTCATTTTTGGCACAGTTTTTGTCCAATCACCACTTATAGAAACAGGGCACATGAAAAATATACATAAAATATACTGGTACACAAAATATCACAACTCTTTTTGTCCCTTTACATTATTCTTAGGGTGCACATACATGACACATGAAATGCAAAGCCAATTCTAAAAAGAAAAAAAAAAAAGTAAACAAAATTGACTAGATGAGGAAGTATACACATAATCCAATTACATTATGTTTTATATATTTCAAAGCAAAAAAACACTTACTAAAAACGATGTGAACATTTGGTTGGCATTATTCCAATAAAAATTACTTTAAAAATGTACTTCTGTTATTCTGAAAGTTAATCTAGCCAATTCTTTCAAGTCTGAGCAATTTAAACTTTGGTAGAATAACTCATAAGATTGATATTTTGTTAAGTGTTAAAAGTATAAGAGTCTGTCAAAAAAAAGATTTGATTTTCTAATAGGTAACGCAAACAAAAATCTCTTCCACACAAACACACACACACACACATGTGAAAGAGCATTAAAATATTGACTCTGTCCATGAAAGAGTTCTAGTTTGAGGAAGAAAAGATACAAATTGTTTACAGATGTTTAGATTGGAATCTAGTAGTTTATAAGTCACTTACTGCTTAGAAATAATGTTAAGAAAAACCTACCAATTCTTCAGCAACACTTCTTGATCCACTGTAACTGAAAGTCCTGTGCCATGAATTATATGCATGCATGGGTGTTATACAGATTGCCAGTAACTTCAGGGAGAAGTATCTTGCAAAATGTGCCTCATATAGACAAATATAGACAAATACTTCATAAAAAGTCACCATAATGCATTGCCTTCCAGTCCTGCTAGAAGGACCTCGCAACAATCCTGATGCTTGTGCTGTTTCATTGGAAACAAGTGTATTCTCCTTTTAGATTCCGTAGGCAGGAGGAGTCAGGCAACCAGAGGGCACCAATGCCTCACTCAAAATAGCAACTCTGAGCTTCACTTTTTTCTATACTCCTAACAGGATTCCTGTTCTCCTCCACTTTTCTTCTCTCTCTCTACATAATAACACTTAGTTCTTTTGTTTAGAAGGTAAATTCAGAACCTGGTCTGAATGAAGCTTATTCTATTGTCTCCTACCACTCTATCCTTTCTAGAGCCCTTCTAACCTAACTAACACAGCAATCTTTTTCTCTCCCAGACACTTTTTGAAAATGCATTGACTGTTTCTATCATGTTCCAATGAAATAAACCAAAATATCAGTGTTTCAATTTTTCTTGTAAATTATGATGATTCTCGACAAAGTCACTTGTAGCATTGCTGTTATTGTCCGTTACGATTCACAGTGACCCTATATAGGGCTTCTGAGGAGTGGCTGATGGGCTTGAAACACGGACTTTGTGGTTAGCAGTCCAGTACTTATCCTACAGTGCCACACCAGGACTCCATTTTTAGCATAGCATTAGCTGAGGAATAAAGCACTGGACTGCACGGTTGGTTTGAACTGCAGGTTGGGGTTTCAAGCTCACCAGCTACTCCTTGGGAACCCTATACAGTGTCCATATGAGTCAGAGCAGACTCAACAGTATTTAACAACAATAACAGCTAAATACAGTATTTCTAAAAATAAATAAATAGATTGAACCAACAACTTTTTCTGAAATATACTGCTTTGTGTTTGTAATATTTTACAAACTTTTCAGACATTGTTTCAAAACTTGAATGGTCTCTATGGCAGCTATGGGAAACACAAATGAACTATGGATACATGAATGAATGAATAAATGAATGAATGAATACCTGCTTCTTTTTCAAATGTAACTATTCTCTATTTGTAATTACACACTTATGAGACCTTAATTACTCAGTTAAAATTAACACTAAAAATCATGTAATTCTTCTCCTCATTTGCTGAGCCCTATTTTGCTAAAAAGATTAAGCAAATAAAAATCACACAATAGCTGAGCACCAGCATTTTCTGATTAGTAAACAATCCATTTTAATCAAAGTAGTATTTGGTAGTGATTTCAAAACTAAGCTGAACAGAAAGTCTTTTAAATAATTTCATTTTCAAATTTTTCTAGGTCACGATTTTAAAGGAAAAGCGTTCTTCCTTTCTTTTTCCCTGCTTTTTATTAATCAGAATTAAAGAAAAACACACATTTCATTTACTGTCTGGATTACAGATTCTGATTAAACAAACCAGAGCTTATTATAAAATCAATATCAACTTAACCACCATGCCCCCAGGAGGAACAGCAAAAAGGTCACTCTAAGAAATTCAAACAATTTTCCTGCTGGAAGGGCACGATTTTAATTACAGATACTATTAATTAGAGCTGTCACAGGGAAGATTTTTTTTTTTCTGTTAATTATCCCAAACTCAATTTTAAGTATGTATTTTCAACCTGTATGTAAAAATTATCCATTTTTGCATGCAAGTCCAACCTTTCCATTCTATCAATATTTTATATTTGAATTTCAAAGTCTATCAAAGGATGGTCTCCCATCTTTCACACATGGAAGAGAATTAGTGTGATAATGTATTGATATAGTACTGTCACAGCCTTAGCCCTGGGTGTTTTGTTTTGTTTCTAATATTGATGGCCTTTCTCAACAGAATTTCTGAATAAACTCTTGCTCATTTATGCAACTTTTTTTTTCTGCTTTCTTTTTCAAAGGTGATTTTTTTTTTTTTTTTGCATCTTAAAAACATTTGATTTTGCCATTTCTTTATACAGAGATGATTTTACTAATTCCGTCTCTAGAAAACTGTTTTTTTGTTTTGTTTTTGTTTTTCAATTCAGTGACAATATTAAGAATTTTGAGGTGAAGGAGGAACTTATCTCCTGGTTTCTTTTCACTATAGAGATTTATAAATTTGTTACACAATCCCTATGTCAGACAGGGTCAGATTGACCCACAGGGCAGGAAAAAGCTAGCTCAGACAACCTCATAAAGGATATAATGCTGAACAATTTGGGAAGACCATCTGGAAAGAGCTTGAGAGTCTTTCCTCCAACCCCTCATCCAACTGATGAGAGAATAAAAATATTTAATTTATATATAATTGTAAAATGCAATGTATTATTTACAAGGCCTATTATACATAATGGAGTCCTAGTATGGCACTCACTGTAGGATAGGCAATGGACTGCCAACCACAGGTCCCTTCAAACCCATCAGAAACCCTGTATGGGGCACTTAGCAATAACAACAACAATTACACATAACAATCATGCGACTACAGAAAACAATCTAAGCCAATGTGAGAAAAGTTTTACAAATATATATCTCTTTGACTTTTAAAATGCAGGCTAAGTAAATTATTTTACTTTCCTAAACACACCTGAAATTAAATGGTATTTTATATTAAAAGGAATCAAATGCTCTGGCTTATATATCTATATAGTCTGAGCTTGCATTGCTATTAAAACTGAAGGAATATTTTCATTACAGGACAATATAAAACATGAAGTATATACTATAGAGTTTCCAAAATCATCTGTGAATTTTTTTCTGAGCCCACTTTGGTCTAAACCTGCCTTGTTCACAATCTTATTGTTTTTTCATTTATTTCCCAGATTCATCTGTAATATTTCTGTACCCCCAGTTCACAGCTGCCACCATTGTTCTCGTGGAGACATCCTTGGTTCGTTCCCCTCCCATTTATCAGCATTATATTTCACTTTATCCAAATAATAGCAAAGGGTGGCAACAAATCAGGCCAAAGGATCTTTTCATATAAGATCCTGAGGAAGTCGATGATTTAAGAGACATCTTCAAACATCTACACAACCAATTTATATTGCCCCTCTGACATTTTTCATTAATAGAAGCCAAACTAAGAAAGATAACAGATAATATATAATTCATGCATTGTACTTTTTCCATATTTCTAATTAGCAACTTGCTTTCACAGCTAACCAGGAGACTATCCAAGAACATGTTAAGATTAATAGAAAGAGGGGTAAAGCTATGGTTGCAATATATTTGCAGGAATGCTAATAGGAAGCTCCAAATTGCCACCAGAAAAAGAAACTAAAATATGAATAAATGAACAACTGCTGGGAGATGGGGAGGAGGGAAAGAAAAGTTAAACAATCTGTCTGCTGAGTTGAGGGACTGAATACACCAGTTTTTAAAGAAGCCTCCTTTTACCTGATAAGCAGCAGTGGCATCTGAGCCAGGGTCCCCCCCTAATCCTGAGAGCTTCTCCTTCAGCTTGTAGTGAGAACTGTGGCGCAGGCAGTAGATGATTCCTGAAGCCAAGAGGACCCCAACAATGCATGTAATGGAGAGCAGGGTGAGGACCACAAACTTGGTGGAGTCTTCTTGCTCTATCTGATGAGGCAGAAGCTTCAGCTTGCTTTTCTGCAGAAAAAAAAAAAGGCCAGGAACATGTTAGTCCGTCACAAATCATGACATCTTAAAACCCCGAGGTTTTTTTTTTTGTTGTTGTTGTTTTAATTAAAACAAACACAAAACACTTTTAAAAAAGTAACTTGGAAATGCTGTGTTGGCATTAAAACAGGAGGGAATTTACAGAACAGCAACCCTCAAATGTGAATATGTTGTTTCAAATACTGTATTACAAACTGCAATCTTTTCAAGAGGAAAGTTAAATGCTTAACTTTTATTTCCGCATGACTGACAGTTTTTCAAACTAAACAATGTAAAGTGTTTGGCAGCTAATTTGCTGCGGTAAGTAAAATATGTTGTTTCTTCCTCTTCTTAAAAAGGTACAGAGTGAAAAACAAATTTACCCAGCTCCTACAGTCCAAAAGTTGGGGATAAGGGGTATAGGGCAGAAGAAAGGGATGGGAATACCTGAATCCTTCTGTGGTTCCAAGTAAATGTCAGATAATTTTATTTAGCACACAACAGAATGTAGGACTGGTCTGATTCATTTTCATATTAATATTCTCCTTAATATGCCAGATGATTTGTCATCCCAGAAATCGTTCTGCTTGCCTTCAAAATCATATTCACGGGTATAGTAAGAACTCTGCACTTGAGTGTCTTTCTCAACACACACTCCATCACTTTCACACCTAAGTTTTGTTTTGTTTTTGTTTTTTCTTTCCTTAAAAGGAAGGAAGGAGTACTGGAGGTGTAGAAGCGGGTGATTCAGGGAGTTCAATTTTCAAACTCCTTCAGGGTCTGATTGTCTCATGGTGTGGCCATGTAGGTAAAAATATGAGAAAGCCGTTTTTGTGCGTTTCACTTGTCTTCGTGTGCTAAAAGTTGTACCCTGATTTCCCCTCATTAGCTTCATTATAAGGTATATTAGCAACAATTAAAAACGCAACAGGAAAATGAAAAGACCCCGCACGCAAATTGCAGGGAGACTCACTTGGACAGCATACCCTTTTCACAATTACTAGGGAAATGAATTGAAAAGCACGCCCCTGCCTCAGTCCTGGTTGCTACAAGATGAGAACAATTAGCAAACTCCTTTCCACCACCTAATTTCGCGTGGTAACAAAATGGATTTTTCCCCATGAATGCCTGGCCAGCCTATTCATTATCTCTCTTCTATTAGTAATTTTCTGCTCTGTATTCAGCTACCCAACTCTTAATTTCCTCCTGTCTTGCAGTGTACACAGTGCCTCTTATGTCAGGCCGGGTCCATTTTTATCTTGTAATCATAAAGGCCACCAAAGCAATTATCGCTGGTCTTGACTGGAAAAGCTGGTCATTAATTAGCCTCCTTTTGCCTTCAGTACAGCGGATTAGCTAGTGCTGGGACTGAGTTAATGGAAACGCGGCATAAATGAGAAAAGACTCCCAGATTTTCTAGTCTGGAAGCGCGGCTCCGAGGAGGACAGTTCGGTTTGTAAACCGCGGGAGGTGGATTGAGAGGGGAAGGGAGGGGGATGTAAAAGTAAGGAGGAGGAGAGCCGGGTGGAGAAAGAAAGCAGGGAGGGAGGGAAAGTGGAGAGCGGAGAATGGCAGAGGGAGGGGGCGAGGGGGCGAGGGGGCGAGGGGGCTGTGTGCGGCACTGGGTCCCGAAGCTGCTGCGGCCGCAAATCCGGTGGCTGCCGCTGGGTCCCCAGTGCACAGCACTTCGCTCTCCGCCTAGGAGAGAGTGGCGAGGAGACCACCCCTTCCCTCCTCCTACCCAGCTCCATCGCGCCCTCCCCCCGCTTTCCCAAGCACCCGGAGCCACTGCCAGAAATAAGTCACTCCCGAGAACCGTCCGACCCACCCTCTAAAAGCAACCAAAGCTCTCCCCCCACGCCGTCCCCTCAATCCCCCTCAGCCCCTCCCCACGCGGGGTGAGAGCCAAAAGCAAATAAATAAATCGGAGGTATCCAACCACGACAAGGCATAATCAGGCAGTGAAGGGGAGGGGAGAGCTGCCCTCCCCAAGCAGCGCACAGCCCGGAACCCGGTGCAGAGACCCGGAGCAGCGCACGCTTGGGTCCCGGCCCGGCTCGCGGCAGCAATGGAGGGGCGCGCCCCGGTTCTCCTTCTCTTAGGCGAGCGGCATTTGATTATTCGCGTCTGTCCAGCTGCACATTTAAAGCGGCCCCCGCCTGGGCCTTGCGCACCGCCTCCAGCTCCTCCTCTAGCCGGCCAGCGAGCTGCCCCCACCCCTATCCCCGGAGCTGGGAGGGGCGTGCGCCCATTCCCAGCGCGGGCTGCGGGCGGGAAGAAAGGAGAGTCGCAGGAACTCGCAGCTCTGGAGACCCCTGCCCTGGAGACGCTTCCCAAGGAGCGCGCGCGAACGTGGGGTCCCCAGCTCGGGGCTGGTGGCCAGGACTCGCCCCATGGGATTAGCATTTCGCTCGAAAGGGTAGCAGTTCCCTCCCGTTTGGGGGTGAGAGGTCAAAATCTACATCTAAATGGGAGGCTAATTTTAAAAATGAGGTTCCTAGTTCTCCTCGAGCAGGACCAGGCTGCACGCGAGGGTTCGCGACGACGTCCATTTCCTACTAGGTGTCCTTCACCCCAATTCCGGTTGCCGAGACCCTCCAAAGTGCAAGCCTCGAGGGTGCGTCGGACACTGCGCCAGTCTGGAGCTTCCAGCGCCACCAGTGGCTGCCTCATCCGTGGCTGACCGACGAGGCGACCACAACAAAGGAAAGCGTGCTGGCCGGCGGGTAGACAGACTTATTCCGCCGCGCGGGCGGAGACACTGCCAGTCCCCGCGCTCTGCACAGCAATCACAAAGGTCTCTCGAGTCGCAGACTCACACGCCGCCGGGACACACAGCAATGGGAGCTAAGTCTCGCCCGCCCTCCTAGATAACCGATCGTTCGTATTGAGGAAATCAAATCCGAGATTCCAAGCACCCTGGCTTAATTCTGCCGTGTAAGCAGAGATTTGCCAACCTTCCAGTATGGAGATGTTAAACGCACTTAGACGCTCTATAGCCAACGACCTCCGTGAGTGCACCCATAACGCACCCCTTATGTGGTGCACACATCAGTGCACACTGGAAAACGACCACACGCACACGTATGGACATGCCACACACACGTCCACTCCAAGGAACTCCAAACTAGCCTTTGAGTATGCTGGGAGGTGGGCGGATAATCCGTGTGGGTTATGATGCACAATGTCTGTAACAGGCCCTTTACAGAGCACAAAACAGACACTTGCACAGCTTTCATGTAGTGTCCAAGTTGAATGGCAACTGAAACCTACCAGTGAGTTACACTTAAGAAGCCCTTGAATTGTGCTTGTATTTTACGTTAGACATTTGCCTTTGCCCCCTAGAACCCGGCCAAGGTTGGTCCTTGTACCAGATGGGCACGCTGAGCCCGGACCCGGCTTTCGCAGCATGAGGAAGGAGCCCTGAGATGGGAAGCTTCACCTGCAGACCTTCTCGAAGCTTCTCGATGGGGAGCGGGCAGCCCACACAGCACAGTCAGAGCCCGCCGCCCGGGTTCGATTCGCCGGGAGAGCTGCGGGAGCCTCCAGGCGCTGTGGGGTTGCAGCGCTGCTGCTCTCTCACACAGTGCTTGGAATTCATTCAAAGGTCAAATAAAAATGTCAAGGATAGTGATTGCCCAGAGTTCTGGGCTCCTCATTGGGTGTCCCCACTTGTCCTCACAGTTACTCCGACCCCCGCTGGGTCCCAATCGCAGGCCTAGGAAAATGGAAAGACGAAAGGGGGAAGGAGGAGGGGGACCCAATCCCCTTTGAGCTCCATTTTCTTCACTCTCTCGACTCCTCACTGCCCGGGCCTAAACTGGTTGCCACCAAGCCTCTGCTTCCCGAAAACAGGAAGGGTTGGCTTGCCATCCCAAGGCTCGCCTCCCAGCGCCTATCTTCAAGGAGACTCTTGTTCAAGAAGGGGATGGGAAGTGAACACAGGACCCAGTGGCTTCGAGGCCCAGGCTGTTGAGACCATGGATAGCGGTGGGCTATGCCGAGGTTTATGGGTGGAGGGCACTGGGATACTGCGAGTCCTGGATGCTACACGATGCAGGCGATGATGGGATCTGACTATGAGAGGAAGGCAGGACACTGATTTGTAATGCGACTGAGCAGAGAGGAGTCTGAAATTGAGGTCACAGCATCTTAGGTCTCAACTGGGAAATCCTGCCTGTCCCACAGTTGGAGGGAAAGCAGCGCTAGGCCGGCAGGCACCTCAAACAGAACTCAAACCCCCTAGTTCCAAGTTCCAAGCGCCCTACCTAGAACTGTTGGCGTGGGGTTGGGGGGCGGACGCGGTTTCAGTAAGCAGAGGGGAGACGCTAGAACTAGAAACTTTACGCAGTACACATCAGTTCTGGAGAATATTTGCAACGTGGGTCATTTTCAGAGAGAAAAAAGGAATTTTTTAAAGGAAAAGGTGAACTTTCCTTGGGAAAGTGAATAAATTTAAACAACTTTACAATTATTCTCCTTCCTCTTTGTGGAGCTAAAGAAAAACAACAACTTAAAACTTAAGCTAAATATGAGCTTGAAGCAAAAAATTAGTTTAGTATCGAATTAAAAGTGATTCTAATTCATCATTTCGGACCAAAACATGATTCTGGTGGGTGCCATGGCTTGCTTTTGACTCCTCCTCCACCTCTCCTAGGTACTGGTACCCAAGGCACATCTACTGCGTCAGTACTACAGGTTCCTTTGTGAAATCCTGTTCTTGGACAGGGCTCAGACGTGCGTTCCTAACTAATTAGAGACATCTCGTCAGTCTGGATTTGAAATTGAAAGAAAATGTTTAAATATTTATGACTGGCATTTATAGTCGGGCATCTTTTAAAAGCAGAACACCTCTTTTTGGCACTGTGGCCGCTTGGTTTATTGAAAGTTTGGGAAATGGGAAAATGAGGGAGGAGGAAGAAAGTTGTGGAAGAAGCATGAAGGAACATGTCCTAGTGTGTAAGATACACACACATACAACAAACACTTAA